CAGAGGTTTCCTTAAAGTCGTGTTTTGGACGTCACAGTGAAGATGGAAAAGCCTGAGTAACAGAGATGAGGACCATCTCTGTCATGTTGAACCTTTTTATCTGTTGACCTGTGTTTTCTTTCCAACCATCATGAAGAACTGCATCGTTATCAACCTGTGGTTATGAAGGTTTGAATCCGTCTTTGCACTTTTTCTTCTGGTCCAAGAATAACCTGAGCATCTAAACAGTGTACACGAGTCTGAATATAAAACAGGACAGTCTACCTGTTTACTCGTCATGGCTGTTTGCTCGAAGATAACAACCTGAAAGACTTAAATAATCGACATTTGATTGATGAAGTCATCAGAGTCAGCTCCTTGAAGGTCTATCAGGGTGAAGCCACTAATCATGAGAAGAAAATTGGTTCTTTGAAAGCCGGCCGTTCAAAGGACTCTGCTTGAAAGGTTTCCCCTTCCAGTCTGTGTTTATACAGATTTTACATAAACTGAGAGCGGAACCTTTTACTGCAAAAGCCATATAATAAAATATTGAAGGTTTGTCTGACTTTGCAACGTCTGGTTCATGCTGTTGTTACTTCTGTTTTGTTCTTGGATTTCACTGCGTCATAACTTGAGATCTGATCGAGTTTTTTGCTTTCATGTCTCAAATCAAGTGAAGTTTTCAGGATTTAGATTCTTCATAAATTACTCTGTGTTTGTGTTTGCAGCAGCAAATATCAGAAAAATCAACAACTACTCCCGAGCAAACAAGGGTGTAGACAATGCAGTTTCAGTTTGAGAAAACAGGTTTTATGTGAATTAAAATGCTTCCTCCAAATGTGTTTCGACCTCAGTGAACATCCCGATGTCCCTTTAAATATGATACAGGTTTTAAGAAGCAAGTCTTTACTAGCTCTGCCATCTATCACTCTAAAAATCTTTGATTTTAAATAATTCTGTTAATCCTAACAGAAGGAAAGTAATGCCAGTTGATGGTCAAAACAAAGGTAGTAGAAAACCATCTATCACCGTTGTTTTTCTCTCCTCTCGTCCTTCATGAAAATGAGGGAGTAGGTGGAGGTAGAGCGATAGCCTAGAGACCGGCAGGGGTAAGTGCTAGACCCAATCAGTGCATCTCATCTTAGCTCTCGTTCTAAGATATCTCGACAGACTTTTCTGTGGTCTGTGTTTAAACCAGGAATGGTGGCATTTTGGTTGTTGGGGTGTGTGTGTGTGTGTGTGTGTGCGTGCGTGCGTGCGTGCGTGCGTGCGTGCATGCATGATAGTGATAGTGATCTGCCTATCAAAGTAATGCAGGAAAGGAAATGGAGTTATGGGACAGAAGGAAAGAAGAGGGGGAAAGAAATGGTGAGCGTGAAAGAGGGGAGAGAAAGAGACGAGGCCAGAGAACCATTAAACAGAAAATCAATCAACAGAGAGAAAGAGGAGGAGGGAGTGAGGGGCAAGGGAGGGTGAAAAGCCCGGGATGATAAGGAAGAAAACTCAAGAAGGAAAGAGGATGGACTAGGAAAGCGATGTGCTGTTTAACTTTTAAAAGAATCATAATTCAGAAAGAAAGGAGGAGGTTTGCAGCAAACAGAGACCGGCAGGGGGAAAAGCAAAGTGGTACTACAACAATAAAAACTGAAAAGTGAGCTAGAAGGACCAGAAGGCAACAAAAGGGCAACACTAGCTCACTGATGTGATAACAAATGAAGGCAACATGGCTAACACTACCCCTCTCTTTCACTCTCTGTTCTTCTCAAACACAGAGGCACACTCAAACGCCCTCCTTTGCACACACTTTCGCTCCTCCTGTGGGTCAGTCACTATGGGGCACGAGCATGAGCTCATCCTCCCAGGTTGCCTACTGAAGCAACAGCGGGGAAGAGAAAAGCCCACACTTCAAAAGATTTAGCCAAGTTTACATGCTAAAAATATACGATCAGAAACACTTGTCTGCAAGAAGATTTTTGCCCAAAGCTCCTTTATCTTCTTGATTTGCAAATGTTTAACACTTTATATTCAAGTAAAAGCTCAATATTTGAGTTTTCACCTTCAGTCCAGAAAGCCAGTTGGGGCGAAAGGGCTGCTAAATGCTAAGTATGTTTGTCTTCATTTGAATGCCTCAGAATTTTATTCACATGACTCTTGCAGAAATGAAGCTTGTGTTTTTGGATTTTTCTTCCATTTTTCCCAAGAACCAATAATACAATTCACAGCACTGTGACCTGACATAGTTTTTGTCCCTGTAGTGTTAGCTTTTGACTCTCTTAGTGGGATTTTGCAATAATATCACCTGTCTGACTTTAAGATGAGTCATAAAATGCTAATGAAGGATGCAAGAGAGAATTATAAAGGATGTTAAAATTTTAACAAGATTAACAACATAACGATGTTGTATATTTAAAGCTGTGCTTATCTGGGAGATATAGTGACCATATGCCATTATGCAGTTGCTTCAAACTAGCAAATACATACAGATTTAGGTTCACCTTTGACTGCTTGGTGTTCTCAACAAGTATCAGTCACTATTGTCAGCTAAAATTCATTTTATTCAATCTTATTCACATGTCTCTCTTTTCAAACTCCATTCTTGCATTGGATGAGGCCGTAGTGACCTAAGGCCTCCTCAGTTGTCTCCCACAGATTCATTTAAATGCTTATTGGATTTAAAGATTTCCACTATAAACTTATAAGACTTCTGTGTAGTTTTAATCTGATTACATTTTTATTCTTCAGATAGAGTGGGGTTCCAAGAATTTGAAAATGACTCATTCAATACACTTTTCTTGAATGCAGTCCCCTAAGTGTGAGTCATTACAAAAATAAATATCAAAATGAAACATACCTTAGTTCACAATGATTTTTTTAAATGTGCCATGCTGTTAAGTTAACACTAGTGTATTTGACTGATCTTATACTGCAGCTGTGACGAGACAAAGGCAGGAAGTGATAGCAACAGAGAATGATGCGATTGAGACAGTAATATTTCACACTGTCAAACAATGTCCCATCATGACTGATGGAGCAGGAAGGTGTGAGCAGCATCCTAAATTAGCAGGTGCAACATGCAGAGCTGACTGGTTCCATGTCGGAGGAGCAGGCATTTAACAGAAGGTAATCAGTGTTGGCCTAAGGTATGTGGACGCCTCACCCTCCCCATCTGAACTCCAACAAATGTCACTTTTTATTAGAGCAGCTGCTCCTGAAGCAGGCTCTGCACAGCCCTGTCGTTACAAAACGACACACATGAATTACAGACGAGCCTAATTGCATCATGTGTCATCTGAAATGATCGCATGGGATCCTCACGTCGCTTTCAAAATAGCTTCACTTCTACATTAGTGTTCAAGTTCTTATTTGAAGTAATAATAAACCTTTTTCTGTTCTATAAAGCGTACAAGTGGATTTTTACTGACAACAAGCCAACACATTCTAGCTTCGGACCCATAATGATACAACTTCATAATGTCAAATTCAGCAAAAGTCCGGTCGACATGAGAGCTGCTCACTTGTTTAGTAATCTCTCATTTTTACAAGTTAATTTCCTGCTCTTTAATAAGAGCCACACCTCAGTGCACCTCGAGGCATTTCCTCATGTCAGGCAAGTGTCAGGGCCACATCAATAGTCTAAGGGGCTGGAGGAGGTGTGAGTATGCGTGCAGAGCGGGTGCGTGACTTCTTAGGAGACACTCTCTCTCTTTTCATCTCCATGTGTCCGGTACAGACAGAAGTCCAGGATGCGTTTAACTCCACTTAGCACGTAAATGAAATGAGCAGAAACTGTACGCCTAATTCTGTCAAAGTGAAACAATTATTCTTCACACAAAAAAAAACAAGAATCTTTTTTTAAACATCATACCTTGCGTCTTTAACCTGTGTGGAAATAGAAAGTGAGACATTAGTGTTTTGGGATCAGATAAAATCTCAGATGTTCCATCTGCATTGTACAGTTGTCAGCTGTGAAAACTTTTGCTGATCAAACCTCAGGTGACTCTTAGATGTATTGATGATTGTAGACAACAGGATACAACATGTACGCTAAATAAGACTGCTTTGCATTTGATCGAAGGCACGATTTTTCACATTTGATGGTGGCAAACTGTTTGCCCCTGCTTGGAGTCTTTGAGCTAATTTAGGCTAAACACGTCTCTATACCAGACGAACAGAAATGGAAGCAGATAGTAATCTTCACATCTTACTGTGAGTCTGATGGCAGACAGAAGCATCTCCCAAATCTTGAAGTCCTTGGTCAAAGTGTGACTCAGTACTTCTTTTTTTTTAACTTTATTATTACCTGTATTTGTCATTTTTAAATCTCTTTATCACCTGATCAAACCTGATTGCGTCCTCTAGCAAAACATGCACATTTTTTACAGTTGGACTTTGCAGCCTATTGATCTGATGAGCCAGATGTTATCCTGCAGCAGACATGCTTGCATGTGTTTTAGCAGAAGTTACATTGCTTTGATCCATCATGAGCAGGGCACATATATTGTAGGGATGAGAAATGAGGAAAGGGGCAGAGCAGAAAATATAGGAGACAGATTACAGGAGAAATTTATAGATGCTTTTCTGGCAGGGAGTGAGCACTCAGACGTCACGTTAGAGTAATAGATCTATATGATTGGTTCGCTGAAATTTCATCAAAATAAAGATCAAAATGTACCCTGTAAGTGCCTGTTAAGTGTAGTTCTCATATAACTTAATAACTTTTCTCTTGTATGTGTCCGTCTTTGAGCGTCTAGTCTCATCAAATCTCTGTCTCTTTGTCACTTTTTACACCAGCGTTTGGCCACAACGAGTGCCCAGACCCTGGTATACCCATCAACGCTCGCCGCTTTGGAGACAGCTTCCAGCTTGGCAGCTCCATTTCTGTGGTCTGCAAGGACGGTTTTATCAAAACCCAGGGAACCGAGACAATCTCCTGTCAGTTAGAAAGAGGAAAAGTCATGTGGAGCGGGCCAATTCCTAAATGTGAAGGTAAATTTTGTCTGGATTGCTGATTAAACTACTAACTCGGGAACAATATGTCAACCCAGATATCATCATTACTTCAGACACAGGAGGTGGAAATCATCTGCTGTCAGCATGTCATGGGGAAATAAATATGGAGGTGGCCAGTTAGCCTAAATACCCAGGGAGATAACGACATACAGTATACACTGCTGCTGTGTAGACAGCTATTAATTACAAATATAATGAATATATATATATTATGAATATAAAACTATTTACCTTTACATGAGAAATGATCAGGGGACAAAACATAAATTAAAAGGTTGTATCAGATAATTTAATCACAGCCTAAAATTTGCAAAATCTGAGTCAATCAAAACACTATTCCCTGATGACTGCTGTTTTTTAAACATGTATTCATGATATCCATTTATATCAAATGCTGATTTCCACATCCATATCAGTCACATACTGTCATATTATACTTCCATTTGGAAATGTATTCCTTTGTTTTGAGTCAAAAAGCCCAAAGTCTTCTGAACAGCTTCTACATAAGAAGAAAAAGAGTTTGACCCTTTAATCTCTGATGAAACAGAACATCTAACACTGTATAAGTGCTTTAGATAGATCTCCAAAGGCAGCAGGTGTAATTAACTTAAAATAAATCTGGCACATCAGCTATTGTTAGAACTGTTGATGATACAAAGAGAGGCCATGCTAATTGTGCTCCAGGTAATTTAATATCTCCAGATCCTTTGTTGGATATGTTTGTCTTTATCTACTTCTACATCCACACACACTTGAATGCAGCAGGTACAGACCAGAACAAATTGAGTTCAGACTCTAAGTTTAACTTCAAACGGGCTCAGATTTAAAAGAAGACTGGAACAGAAGACCTTCAGGCTAATTTAACAGCATGATAACATGCTGCTAAAAACTCTTAAATTATGGGTGGATGATGATAGAGAACATGTTTAAGTGTTGATGTTCCTTTTAGATGCAATGAATGCCATACTTGCACTATGTAAAGGGTCATTTCATTTTTCTCTCACTTAAATAATGAAGGGGAGCACCAGAGCACACTGTTCATGTGTAGTTTTGATGACCATGCCATTCAATCGCTCTGAAGATTCATGAATGTGTTCATCAGGGTCAGTCTCCATCCTGAGAGCTATTTTCAGTACACTGCAGAGGTGCTGCATCTTTTTCTTTCAGCCAAAGAGTCAGATTTATCCTTCAGGAGTTGAGAGCAAAACATGTATAGAGAGAAATTATTGTTCTTAGATTTACAAATATTCATCAGGTAGTAAAAAAATAAACACATCTCCAAATCAGTGCTAATGTTGCTTTTTATCTGCTCTTTGTGTTAATAGGCATCAGTTTGCTTACACTCTCACCATATCTTGCATTTGACTTTTGTGCCGTAAAGTGCATTTAACAAAACTGGCTGAACAACCTGTAGAGCAACTAACATCCTCCGACCTCCTAGAGTTCTGTCTCTCTGCAGCATGTGAACTCAATTAATTTAAACAAAACAACAAGTATATGGAAGGTTTCCTTCAAGTTATGTTCTCAAAAGTCGTAAACTGCACAGTTAAAACATTTGAGCAGCTTTCAGAGACAAACTGGTCACTGGAGCAATTCAATAGCAGCACTGATTTTTATGTCTCACTTCAATGATATAGAGGATGTAGATGCTGATGATAGATACAGTTGGTGAGGAACTTTAAATGTATTTTGAATTCTCCTAGGTGTTTTAAACTGTCAGTTTTATTCCAAAAAGTGGTTATCATCATGGTGAACTTTTATTTTTGTTTTGCAGGTTCCAGACTGAGCAGGGTTATGACTTCCTGGAGATCCATGATGGACCAAACCTCCTGTCTCCTATGGTTGGCTCCTTTAATGGCACCCAAGTGCCCCAGTTCCTATTCAGCAGCACCAACTTTCTGTATCTGCTGTTTACCACAGACAACAGCAGATCAAATGTGGGCTTCAAACTATTGTATGAAAGTAAGTCAGAGACATATAAACCATGTTTTTGGGATATACACTGGTGGGTGTTCATCCAAGAATACTAAGCTGACTTTAAAATGTATTTTCTGTAGATTTGAATATTAAAGTTACACTTACAGCAACCCCTAACGAGTCAGAGGGTTCAAACTACTGTAGTTTCAAAGCATGGTGCTTTATGTGGACAACCAAACAATCTGATGGTTTTAGATTATACTGATCATCTAAACTCAGCTATAAACTCTTAATTCTCATCCAAAACGTTTACAAAGTTTAACCTTTTTTCCCAGGTGTTACAGTCGACAGCTACTCGTGCCTGGACCCTGGTATCCCTGTCAACGGTATCCGCTATGGGCAGGATTTCTCCATCGGGTCCACAGTATCATTCGGTTGTGATTCTGGGTACAGACTGAGCCACGAGGAGCCACTAGTATGTGAGAAGAACCACTGGTGGAGCCACCCTTTACCTAAAACTGTGCCAGCCTCCTGTGAATCCAAAAGGTGAAGAGATTTCTCTATAACATCAGGGGAGGAGAAACACTATTTCAACAACATCATTAAAGTCAGAGAGTTGAGACACGTTCACAAAGAATAAATCAGGCTGCAGGTGTTTATCATGCTGTGACATGTCTCAGGTGATCGGGTCTTATCGGACTTAATGGTCACCATCTTTGTGTCTGGTCTCCATGCTATGACTAAACATCTTTGCCCAGAATCCATTCATGATCCTTTGACCACACCTACAACCTCCAGATGGCCAATCACAGCCTGTTGTCTGAAACAAGCCTCCTCTGATGTCATGAACAGTGTGTGTGTGTGTGTGTGTGTGTGTGTGTGTGTGTGTGTGTGTGTGTGTGTGTGGGGATGGGTGGGTCACCTTCTCTCCTGTGTGAACTGTGAACACAGGACGGTTTGAGGTAGGGTTGATGAGAGCCTGTGTTGGCTGTCACCTCCTCTCTCTTCCCCCTCAAATCAAGGAGTCAGGGAAGGGGGAAGGGGAAGGACGGGGGTGATGAGGGGTCTCTCTCACTCTCTCTCATTCTAATCATGTCAGAGATGTAGTGGGAAGGAATGAGATCAGTTTTGTTGGCTCATTCGCTTGTTAACCATATTTGAATTGCACTTTCCCTCAGATGGGCAACCATTTTCCTGCAAGCACCCTTGGGCATATAAGAATCAAGAGAGCAGCCTGGAATTTGCAGGCTGAATGCTTTTTGGCAGTGTTTACACAGTATGCATCATACAAATACAGGAAGTATTTATTGCTGAGCTTGGTCAGAAATGTTTTGATAATTGAAAACTAGAAACTAGTGCACATAGAATTCAAGCAAGATGGTGCCAGAGGGCAGCCAACCTAATCCTGCAGGATGCTGCTTAAATCCAATTTAGTTTATGTCACATATTAGCAGATACAAATCAATCCTGTGTTAATAGATATTTGAAAAGATTTCTACATTTTTTAACCAAACTCCTTTACTTTTGAGTAAAAAAAATGATAGAAAGAAATTAGAATTCAATCCAGCTGATGAATTCCTCAAGCAATTATGTGAATGAAAGTGAATCAAAATATGATTTAAAATTACTTTTTACACTTTTTTTGAAGATTAACTTTTTTGGAGATCACTTCATCCAACTTCATTTGAATGAAAGACAGAACAAATTGGAAGACCAGCTAACCGACAGAGGTGGAGAAAAGAGAAAGATGAAAGAAGATCTTAGAAAAAGATAGACAGACGGAAAGGGAGTAACGAGAAAAAATATAAGGGAACTGGTGGGTGTTTCAAATTTCTCACACAGCTCAGCATTTAACATTAAGAGCTTCCTGGCAGAAAAGAATTCATAATTAATGGAACTTTGCGTGTGTGTCCATGAAAGCCTTTGTGCGTGAGTGAGCTGTGTGTGTACGATATGGGTGGGTGCCCATGTCTGCTTGCATCTATGTACTTGTCTGGTTGGGAAATATTTTTACCCCTCATCCTTGTTTTGAGGTATGCTGATGTTGTACGTGTGGTTCAAACTGTAATATAGATACTGATGCGTCACTCTGTTGTGGTCTGAGCACATTAATAATGCCTGACCTGCCTTTTTAATGTGATTGTGGTGGCTTTCACCACTACAGAGGGTCTGTACTGACTGTAGTCTGGGCAGCAGTCCTCAGAGATGGTGTTTCTCCACTCACATTGAACTGCTGAATTGTCCTGCTCATGAAAACTTCAGCAGAACTTCCAGGTTTGACCTTGTCCCAGGAGCTCTGCCACCGTAGCACTTTTGAGGTAATGTTATGGCATTTTATAGGTTTATTGTAAGAGGGAATGACAGGCCAGTCGGCCAACTGTAAGATGAACCAACTGAAGCGAGCAAGAATGAAGCACCTTGCAACACATGCATGCATTAGTATGCATAGAATGAGCAACAGATTTCACCAAGCTTTCCTGCGGACTTGGTCTCTTACTGCATAACAATGTGCACAACTGAACAGTGAGCAGAGCTTGCAGGGTCATTCTGAGGCCGTACAGTGAAATGTTCAAAATGATTTAAGTAGTCTTTAAGAAACCCTTCCCTGGTTTGAATGTCACTGTTTTAAATCACTTGAAATCAATCTTTTGTAATCTCATTCCTTATACAGTCATTGCTAACTGGATACATTAGACGTTGGTATACTGGATGTTGTTTGATTGATGTAGTAATCTATTGCTACAACAACGGCATAGTTTAAATTATTTTCTTATTAACACCCTACATTAGACAAAGCAAAACTCCAATTATGTATTTGAAAGCAGCTTTGCAATAACGATAGGCAATGCTGAGTTATACAGTTATGATAAACTTGTAAAGTTCTGATACCTAACTGCAAAATAAAAACTTAATTAGCATGAAACATTATAAAACTCAAGCTAATTATCCCAAAGAAAAGAAGCTGAAGTGTACTCTGTGTTCTGCTGGAGAGTGGTTCTATCGTTCAATGCTGCAGAATCAGAATACATCAGTGTATTTATGCACCATCTGTCTGCACCTACAGTCTGATCCTACATGTGGAGGGGCTTTTAGAGGCCTGTAGAAAGCTCATTTGAGCTCCAGAGCCCAGAGTGCTCTTCTAATTATGTGAAAGATGTTTCTGTCTGGTGAACATGCCACACTTTTTACTCACAGGGGTCACCACGGTCACTTACTACATAGCTGCATATTTTCTGACCTAAACTACATTTGCTTATGAAAAACAACTGCATATGTGACAGACTGTAGTATGGAGAAATCAGAAGAAAATATTGGATGAACCAGGAGGAATCGCTGCCATAGTTAATCATGAGCAGCTGCTGTTTGTCTCAAAGACATTTACTTTAAAAACAGAAAAATGCATTATATTTTAAAAATATATTATTCAAGTATACAGTAAAGTTTTACGCTATATGTCATTTTGTTGTGTCTCTGCAACAGTGGAGGGTAAAATAAGAGATTTTGCATCTGACCTTTTTACATCACAGGTTTTTGGAGTTTTTCTCTCTTTCTTTCATTTTCTGTAACTATGCCTTTCATGTGGCATTTTGTGTGTGCGTGCGTTTGTGTGTGTGTGTGTGTGTATGTTTTACAGAAGTGAAATTTAAGGTCCACAGGGAAACATTATCTGTTTAAGCCGTCAACTATCTAACGCTAACCTCTGCCTGCCTCCGTCCTCTGTCTCTGCTCATCTTTCCCGCACCCCTCTGCCTCTCTGTCCCACCTTGTCTCTCTCAATCTGTCCAGCTCTCTGTGGCGGCGATGTTAGAGGTCCCTGGGGTACCATCCTTAGTCCCGGCTATCCAGACAGCTACCCTTCATCTCTCAACTGTACCTGGACGGTTGAAGTCAGCCATGGGAAAGGCAAGAGACACAAGCTGATTCATACGCCCTAATAGAAAGAGACAAGTCGCACACACAGCAGTGCAGCTGCTGCTACAAAATCACAAACCTTCACTCCATTGGGTTCCTAGAGTATTTTGTAGTTTGTTACATATCTAAAGAGACATATTGACATTCATATTTTTATTTGTTACATGTTTGAATTTCTTTTAAAATTCAAATAAAGCTAACATATATAATTCCTTGTTAAATATCATTGTGTAAGGTTATCAATACTAATTTAAATTTTTTCGATGCCGAAGAGCTGATAATATAACAGACTTCTAAACCTGTTAACTGAACGTCTTAATAATAATTTTCTAAATGGAAACTGTAGCAGCTTGATTTATTGACGATATGATAGCTGTAATATGACTATTAGAGAGGGAGGGAGAGAAGGAGTGGTTCTGCAGATAAGGTGTGTGTGTGTGTGTGTGTGTGTGTGTGTGTGTGTGTGTGTGTGTGTGTGTGTGTGTGTGTGTGTGTGTGTGTGTGTGAGCCACATTTATACATGCCAAATTTCAGTTTCTGAAGGAACAATAAATGTCAGTGATATTTCTTGGAGGTGAGTCACCAGTGGGCAGAGAGTTTTGGCCTGTTCACCATCCTGTAACACCCTTTTTAATTATGTGTTGCACAATCAAGGACATTATTAGAAATATGACTTAATTTATCAAGCTCTTGTTCTTATTGTTGAATAACCTGAGGTGGAAAGTTTGGTAATTCAAACAGAATACATTATTAAAGAGATATAAATATTCTGAATGACAGGCCTATGAAATTTCTTTTTTAGAATGGCTACGATTGTAAATACCTTAACAACCCACCTTATTAACCTTAGAGACATATTTTCAGTACAAACATTGTTGTATTCAATATCTTCTTTTTTATTAAGTTTGCCTTTCCAAGATACTTGCGGCTCAAACAGCCTTGGTTAAAACTTCTTTGTAAAGTTTAAATTTCTATGCTGTACAACAGACTAACAACAAATGAATGGGCTGAATGGCCCTCTAATGAAAAGATGATTTAATATTCAAAACTGTATGGACAAATTGTGGCTGCGTAAACAGCATGAGGGAAACGTCTATTGGCTAACACTTTATTTAAAGAATGTTGATGAATGTTGTCAATGAGTAAAACTGAAATGTCAGTCACTTTATTTTACTTTTATTGCAAAGTTAACATTGTTTAGGATGTCTTTGACATTACCACGTCATAACAGGCCTGATCATCAAACTTAAAGAAAGTATTTAGTCGTATCTGTAAACATTACTTTAACCTGTCATATGTGGTTAATGTTGAAATTGGCTTTCATAACACCATTATAGCAGCGACATGAATAATTTCCTTGACCTCAAGTAAAGTCGGACACCAAGGAAAAGTTATTGAGATGTCATTAAGTGTTATGACAAAGCCAAATGATTTTATAACAGTGTCATGAATCATTTCCTTGAACTCAAGTAAAGTGTGACACTTTGGACAAGGTTATTTTGTCTGGGTCAATGTTGAGTGGTTATTACAAAGACTTCCTAAACAATGTCAACTGCATTAAAGGTGATACAATAGAACATATGACACTAAATGACAACATTCATAATCATTCATAAAACATCCTACATGTTAATGACAGTGTCATATTATGGATATGACAGTGTCATGTCAATCTTATGTATACCACTTATATATATATATATATATATATATATTTTTTTTTTTTTTTAAATATATTTAGTGTATAGTTTTTTAGTGTCTATTACTGCGGTTTTCATATGTCAGTTATTTTATAAATGGGTGAAGGGCTGGATTTGGATTCAGTGTATGATCGACTGGATCTATAGTAGAGTTATGCACCAGATTAAACTCTGATTCATAACAATCACGTGTCTTTACAGTATAATGAGCAGCAAACAAAAACATGAAGAAGGGACAACATGAGGAGGGATATTAATGCAGTGAGGTCGCACAAAAATACAAGAATGAGGAACTGCTCCATGATCCATAAAGACAAATTAGAAGGCATATTCATTACAATAAAAGGTTTTATACTGGATGCAAAATGTGCACATGTCCTCAGCCGTATCACAAATTAATTCATGTCCAGGGTTGGAAACATTATAAAAAAAGCCTCGAAGGGAAAGACATGAAATAAATGAGTTCTCATTAGCTTTGGTTGGACTACAGGAAACAATGCTCTAGACATATATGGGCTGGTACAGAAACTCACACATAGAGCCGAGGGCTGCTCGGATATGACAAAAGTCATGATCCCGATCATTTTGATTGATGTTGATATCACGATTTTAAACACGACTACTCATTGATTTGACAGCATCTGGATCATATGCAGTTACTGAACTTAAACACATTTAAAGGTTCCGAACACTTTGAAAAACAAGCAATAAATGACAATGCCTAAGTGAAAAATATGAATATAATAATAATAATTTATAACAATCAATTCATTAAAATCAATAAACTATATTTTAGTTTGGTGATGTACTCTTGTGGCTAAAATACAACAACAACTACTTTCTAACATTTACCATACGTGACAAAACCTGTGGACAAAACAAGCGCTACACAGCATACAGCACAGTCATTATCTAATCTCGATTTATCTTGTTTTGATGATCGTGGGTGGACAGAATTGGAATTGAAATTGAAACTTGATTCATTGCATAGCCCTAATAGACTCCACATATGAACCCCCTTAAGAAAACATCTGTAACTGTGAGGTTTAGAATACTTTGTTTGCTTCTGTTCAACACAGAGACATTGAGAAAAAGGAGACATCAGAATAAACCAAGACGTTATAATGACAAAAACTAAAGGGAAAACATGTCCATGAGTCATTGTTTTGCTCTTCTGCACTGTTCATTTATTTTTCCATGTTTGCGTGGACTCTCTCTGGGTATATTAGCAGCTCTCTGGTCATTATCCTCAATCTTAGAATGGTTCCCTGGGTACCACAGAACGGCTTACCTGCTGTTTCAGAAATAGTTTAAAATAAGTCTGATGCTGAACAGGAGCTTACCCAAGAGGATCAATTCTTTGTGCTCATAACTTCAGGGTGTTTGGTAAACAGATGTGTGCGATGAGAGTTGATTCAGGTTTCAGATTTAAAACAAATAAAGGGCAAGAATACAATCAAAAGAGACAGCAGTAAATGTTTCAGCACTCCTTCACACGATGAGAAGCAAAGAGAGGGAGCAGGGGTTTGGTGCAGGTGTTGTGCTGTGTGCTATATTTAGTTTCTGTGTGTTGTGTTGAATTGATGCTGGATGAGATGCACATCACAGAAGGAGGAGTGAAGAAGAGAGAAAGGAAGTGATTTCAACACATCTGATATCTTAGCTATGCAAACGTTTGCTTGTTTGGGTCCGTTTTATAGCATCCTAAGTTATGTAAAATACAGTACTCTAATCACGTAAAGACACTTTAGCCAAAGTTGTGCTTGTTAGTATTTTTAAATCATAAGGGTGTGTTTTGTACATTTAAAGTATTGCTTTGTGGGTAAGTGTTTGTGGTTTTATTTATGGACATGAGCTTCTATTGAGCATGTAAGTAGGGGGAAAGGAGGCACAAGCAGGTGATAAAAGTAGATCAGGAACAGTCGAAGAAGACGGCAGTAGAGTAGAAGAGGAAACTGGGGAGAAGCGTAAAAGGTAGCTTGATTGAAGTGGAGTAGGGTAAAGAAAGCTCTATTCATAAAGCTGGAGACAGAGGGAGAGAACAATAGTGAGGGAGTTAAAGATTAAAGAGAGAGAGGGTGGAGAGGTAATTTTCTAAATGGAAACTGTAGCAGCTTGATTGTAATATGACTATTATACCAGTAGAGACACAGAGAGGGAGGGAGAGAAGGAGGGTGGGAAGAAAAAAAGAGGAAGGGGACATGGTTCTGCAGATAAGGTGTGTGTGTGTGTGTGCGTGCGTGCGTGCGTGCGTGCGTGCGTGCGTGCGTGCGTGCGTGCGTGCGTGCGTGTGTAGGGTGAGAATCTTTAGGTAAATTGGTTTCTGTGTTTTACTACCTGCCCATTCCCCTAAAGGAAGTAGATGGCCAACTACACAGCTGTTTAAGAGGGATATTAAATAACACACACACCTGCACACAAGCACTCATTCAAAGTGTCCATTTAAAGGGGAAAAGGAAGCTTCTGCCGCTTTAAGATGAAGTCTTCTTAGGACAGCCTGTGTTCTCTATCTTACTTTTAGATGCAACTTTATTCTTCGAAGGGGGGACACTTGAGTGGCATTTCTTGGTATATAAATCCATAATATTGTATGATCTTCTTTCTGTGTTTGCCATTAGCCGAGTGTGGATCTTCAGTCATGAACAATGAAGGGATCCTTCTCTCTCCAAACTATCCAATGAACTATGACAACAACCACGAGTGCATCTACAGCATCCAGGTAAACAAACAAAAGAGCACAACATAACTCAAGATGATAGAGAGGTGAAGATGTGGAAGTGTTAACTTTAAGATCATAGAAATTGCAGACCTCCGACAATGAAATCGTTTTCATGAGCAGACAAACGGAAACAGAAATATCCCTGTAGGAGGTAATAACTTTCTTGAAATGTTTATGGAAGCATGTTTTCTACCTTTGTTTGCCTACAAACCTGACTCTGGTTTCATGTTTTCTTTAGGTTCAGGCTGGAAAAGGCATCAACATCTCTGCTCGAACCTTTCATCTTGCACAAGGGGATATACTCAAAGTAAACACACACACGCACACACATATATATGTGATCTCTCTGTCATTCCTGACATCTGTGTGTAAATGTTATCTGGGCCGATGAAATGATGATGCCTTCAGGGACAAACCTTGAGCGTTAGTAGTTCTTTGTAGTTTTGTAGTTGCACCCGGAGTTAATTGATCTGTTGTGATCGCAGATTTACGACGGTAAAGACAACATAGCACATATCCTTGGAGCGTTTACGGGATCCTCGATGCTGGGCCTGACGCTGATCTCCACTTCAAACCACCTCTGGCTGGAGTTTTACAGCGATGCAGAAAGCACAGGGGAAGGATTCAAACTGGTCTACTCAAGTAAGCAATCGGAAATATAATAGCAATATAAACTTATACATGCGTACAACCTTACCAGGTCCAAACCTTACTGTGTTTGTTTGGCTTCTATTTCAACTGAGAATACAGCGCAGGGTATAAAAGAAACATCTTTGTCATCACTGCTTTATCTGATTTCATAACAAGTAAACATTTAGCTGCATTAAGAAATAATCGCGGTCTTCGCACGCATGAATGTAAGATTAGCATGCAGAGTTTACAAGCAAGCTTTAGTCGACTAGAATGTCTGTATACATAACAAACTGTTAAATTTTAAACATATCTGCATAACCTCCCAGTGGAATAAACAACACTGCTAGTTGACACGATGATAACATCACTGCAGTGCATGATATAATCCTAAGCTTTTAACAAACCAGGAAATACTGCAAGTGTAGTGTAGTGTTTTTGCTGTTAAGCAAGACAAAAAAAAATAGACTGGACAATGTCAGCACATGAGAATGAAGCTAGTCATCATGGGAGTCATGTCGTATAAGCAATTAAACTCCACATGACAGATGCTCTAATTGCTGACAAGTGTGACACACTTGCTTAATCAATTTTAACTCTGAATGGTTCTCATTTGAGAAACCATCACAGAAGCACCACTCATCACAAGAGGCTTGTCATGTTTGATTAACAAAGCTTTCAGGGGGTTCAGATGTTATGCAGGATCAGGTGTTAAAGGTGCTTTCTGTGGTTCACACAGGCACACCCACGTTTTGCATCCCCTCTTAGATTCTAAGATGGAAATAGAAAATGAAATAGTTTGACTGGAGTCATACTAAATGATTTGCAAAGGATGTATTGTCTCTCTGCTGGGTGAAAGTGGGTTCAGCATTTTTCTCTACTCCTCTCTGATGCAAATAAAAGTGTGCTATACATCCAAAAATAGTTTTTTTTGTGAAATGTTTATAGCTGAATTTGATATGAAGGCTGGAATCCAATAAATCTCTGATGCCTGATGACTTATTTTCTTATACAACTACATGTCAAAGATACAATATCAGATTGGCAACCACTCATACCAGGCATCAGGAGGACTGCAGATGTGTTCACATTACTAAAAAAGAATATTAGCTCTGCAGATGGCCATTTTTCAAGGATTTATATTTGCACCTACTACAGTGTTTCAGGAGATAACTCAAATCCTTGAACACCTCATCTTTCAGGTAAAACTGCATATCAAATCCTGGTTAAGGTCTTATAGGGATAAGCTATTTATAAAACCCCGTCATATCCCCCTCTCCAAAAATGTGCACATGAATAAAAAGAATATTCTGAAGATTACCATGGAAACCGAGCTTAAAGACTGTGATAAACAACATGAAATTTAATAATGCGTATATGTCCTCCCGTATCTCTACTAATATTGGTACGTCTCATGTATTTTTTCCCGCGTTTTTTATTAAATTGGAGAGTGCTTAAAAGGAATGTGTGATCTTAGGAAGCTCATAAAAAAAGAATACTTTAGTGTGCTAGTTATTAAGGGAGCATTGCTTTGCATCTTAACAACACTGATTTTGTTTCCTGGAGTGTGTCCTTGTGGCTACTTTCGTGAGTGTTTTAAAAAGTACAGATAGTAAAAAAAAAAAACATTCTCTTTTTTTGTCTCTCTCTCTCTCTAGGTTTTGAGTTGTCTCATTGTGAGGACCCAGGCGTGCCTCAGTTTGGCTTCAAGGTCAATGACCAAGGTCATTTCACCGGCAGCAGCATCACCTACAGATGTGAGCCTGGATACACTCTCCATGGTGCTACCACACTGAAATGCATGACAGGAGAAAGGAGAGCCTGGGATAACCCTCTGCCTTCTTGTATTGGTATGTGCCCTGCTGCATGAAGCACACACACACACACACACACACACACACACACACACACACACACACACAGAGATGTATACAAACATACAGAAATACATAAGAAACATACTAGCAGTGGGACCTTGAAAAGAGCTATTTAATAAGTTTGAGAGGGAACTGTTATCAGCATAATTAGACAATTTCTTCTCTTCACATAATACTTAACGCTCAAGCGGTCCATCTAATTTTCCCACAACCCAGCAGCTAGTGCACTTATACCTTTTACAAGCAGTAAACATTACTGCACTCAGTCTTTCTCTACACTCTGGTAAAATGTCCCTTGCTACTTTATGCAAAGACCCTTCCCTTCGTACGGGACGTCCATTCAATAATCTGCAAAAAGCAGCTGGAGGTCAATTTCCTGCGGAATCACCATTTTGATTTCCATGAGATCACACACTGCGCTAGTTCTGAAATCTCAATAAAAAGTCTATTTATTCAGGAGACTTTACCACCTGGACTTCCTCTCTCTAATTGATCCATTTCCTTTCCTCTACTGGCTCATTTGCTTTCTGTACTTTGAGATTGCTGTGCAATCAGACAAATTCCACACAGATGTGCACACCCACACTGGCCCATCTCCTTGTTATTATTTTTGTCTCTTGAATTGTTTCTAACCGGCTCTTTTTTATGTCATTCCCTCTCTATAAACAGGGCTACGTGGAGAACCTGTTTGCTGGAATCGTTTCATAAACACATTTAAATCGATTGAATTCTGTCAGACCACTGTATCAAATCAGCAGCAATTTTAGGGAAACAATAAAACTTACTGGGAAGCAACTCCCTTTCAAGTATCGACCGATTTCTAAATATGCCATTAAAACATCATTGCCTTCTTAATTAATTTTTCATGGCTTGAAACTGATGGGGGAAAGCAAACCACAGCTCTGAATATTAATATCAACAAGTCAATAATTGCCTTCTACAGTATAAGCTGTGCAGTATCAGGGCTGCAGAACTCACATTTATATACACACATGCTCACATATTCCTATGTGTTTTGTACAAAATGCTTTGATTTGAATAGATTTGGAGGTAAATTTTGAAGACTTATACAGTCCGTTCCCTAATTAAACCTGAAAAAATGAAAGCATAGACAGAGTGACACACACAGAGGCTGCAGCAGCTGTGACTCAGACTAGCAAGTCCGATATTTTAGAACCTTTTCTTCCACCATTTCTGCCTCTGAACTTTCTGATTTTAGATTCAGCTTAATAAGGCGCTCTCCTTCTCAGGATTCTCTCCCTTGGATATCCATTTCCTTACGACAACAATCTACGTTGCACATGGATCATCGAAGTGGACTCAGGAAATATAGTGAGGTAACAAAGGCCATTTACAAGTCTGTAACTTCAACTGCACAAACAACACCATTTGACACTTTTTTCTTAAAAGTTAAAAGTTTATACATTCAAGAGTTCTGCAAATGCTCCTCTAATCCTTTTAATTGACATGATTCTTCATGGTCCCCCTGTTTTCCCTTTCTCTGCCCTCCTACGTCCCTGTCTGTGTTGTTTATATCCATCTCTAGCTTCAATATTGAGCCAAACTATGGCTTCCTGTGTATGGATAGCAACCAGATAGCAACAGCCCTCTGATTGGCAGCTTCCAGGACAGCAAACTCCCAGAGCGGATAGAGAGCAGTTCCAATACAATGCATTTAGCGTTTCGAAGTGATGGGTCTGTTTCCTACATTGGCTTTCACCTGGAGTACAAAGGTAAAATGTAATGCCAATACTAAGACAATTTTACAAGATCAGAGGCATCAGCAAGAACAGAAATTCATCCTGTTAGACATTGATTTTTGTCTTAAAACCTTTAAGTCAGTAGGAAATAACAGAGTAAAATGTATCTGCATTATGATAAGGTAAATCCGCTTTGGTATAATCACAATAATCTAAGTTATCTTTCATTTTGTTTTGACAGCCAATTTGCAGCGGCCAATTGTTGAAGAATAATTTTAATATCCTTTTTTTGTTGCATTTGCTTTTCTTTCGTTTCTGTTTTTCATGAGCAAGGTAACATGGGAAACTACTGGTTAAGGTTTTCAAACTTGTACAACCGTCTAAAAATGTTTTAAAGGCCCCCTGTAGTGACAGGATGTCTCCAGAATGTCTTCAGAAATATTTAATTCTTACATTTAACAAAGACGTCTCCTGAAATATTCTGTAACATCAAATACAAAATGAATGCAATTAAGGCTCCCACACCGCTGACAGTGTGCATCATGCTGATTTTAAGATGAAATAGACGGATTGCCCTCCCTATAAAGTCCCTGTTGAATTAGTGTCTGTTGAAATAGTCTGCCAGAGCACTGAGTTTGATTTACCTGAACAAAAGTATCAACACTGGCTTCATGTGGACTCTGGAATTAAGTCTTAAAGTTGATGCATGGTGGCCGCTAATCTTTCAGGAGGTGGGCCAAAGCCGTAATTTTATAGCCGTAAGGTTCATGTACCATTCATAAGCTGGATGATGAATTTCTGGTTCATCCTCTATCTTCGGCAAAGACAGCTAAGTCAAACAGACTGTTGAAAAAGGCCAACGTAATGCCTGCCTCATTTGATTATAGTGAGAGACTTAGTTATTATTAATTTGAGTCTGTATTTATGTGTGCCTGTTGCTTTATCTTTTCCTCATCCTCTCTCTAACTTGCACACTTGTTCTCTCTTTTTTCCTCTAGCCAAGCTGAGGGAATCCTGTTTCGACCCAAGTGTTGTTCTGATTGGGACCAGGTTGGGGTCTGATTATAAGCTAGGCTCTACTGTTACCTTCTACTGTGAGGCTGGACATGTGCTGCAGGTAAAGATGCAAAAAAACACAAAAACAATTGAATGGATGGATGGATGTGTAGGTGGAGGGTTAGTTGGTTGATAGGGGTCACAGGTCGGTTGTTTAGTGATTGGATGGCTGGAGGTGGTTGGATGGATGGTTGCATGTTTATTCAGCTTCTAAACTAGTTGATCAGTTGGGATCCATTTGATCCTTAAGGTTAGTTGATCAGCTAGATGGATAATTGGTTTAGTGGTTAGTTTGATGTGTTGAGCTGCTTGTGGGTAGATGGATGGATGGTTGCATGGATGGTTGGATGGATGGGTGGGGCTTGGTTTATTGATTTGTTGTTGATTATTTTGTGTAAATGTTGATTGATTGGATGGGTTGCTGGTTCTTAAAAGGTTGTTTTGTTTGTTGACCAGTTGGGTTTTTTTTTTTCACTGTAAAATCTCTTCTAGGGCTATTCGACTCTCACCTGCAGTATGGGAGATGATGGCAGACCTGGATGGAACAGGGCTTTGCCTAGTTGTCAAGGTAACACAAACTAATGCACAGAGTGGAATAAAGTACTCAGCAAACAGAGCATAAACCTCTCTTAATACAACAAATAATTATGTGTATGATAATGTGCCTATCTGATTGTGTGTATTCCTACTTTAGCTCCCTGTGGCAGTCGATCTACAGGATCAGAAGGGACTGTTTTATCTCCCAATTTTCCAGGAACTATACATCTGGACAGACTTGTGTCTACTCTATATCTGTGCTAAGAGCGTTTGGTAAGTCCATACACGCTGTCTCATAGAATAGGTTACCTTGCATTTAACGTGATCCTTAATAGAGAATAACCATCCAAGATCCTTTGCAGAATTAAATTCTGTACCTGTAGGAATCCATTCTGTGTGATACAGTGTTGATATGGAATTATGAATATTAAGGGAATCCATTATTTATACTTAAAACAATTTCATGTGCAAGTTTAAAACTCTGAAGTGTAGGTGAAGTTACGACAAGAAGGAATGAAAAACTGTGGTCATACGTTTCTTTGACATTTTGTGACATTAAAACTTTCAGAGATATTATAGATGATCAAAAGACGGTCATTGGCCATTTATTTTTGATTCCAGGTCAGGGTTTTATTATTGAAGTGACATTTAAAGATGAGGCTGTTTTTATCTTTTAACATTTCAACATTGGTCCTTAAGTCAGGCATAAATGACAAATCATAAAGAAATGAATAATGTAGAGGATTCTTCACGTTAGGGTTTGAATATGTTCATAAAAAGGAAGTGTCTCTTTTTATACTTTCTTACACGCATGTAGAACCTCTTTCTCTTTAGAGGTTTGAATGTTCAATAAGTATTATACTATAAATAAATGATCATACTGTAGTCTGTTACATTGTCTGACGGAATATCTGATTCCAGTATATCCCACCCATGTTAATAATGCCTCTCCAAACATGTGTAGGGGTTAATTTACAATCAAAATTTGTGTGAAGAATCATTTTAATGTCACAGCAAGGAGGTTCCTGAAATCCCTGTCGGATAGGGCCTCTCTGTGTCAAGTTTCCATTTTCTCCCTATTCATGTTCTCCCCCCCTGTGACCCCGAATTAGAAAGCGGCAAAGATAATGGATTGATGGATGGATGTCTCTTGTTGTCAAGTAAATTGAAAAGTGAATTCATGATACGCAGTCTAGTTATTTGTTATTATTTTATAGCACACAAATTTGCATAGTCTTTCTTATATCCCTACATCAGTTATTGACTATTTGAAATAATGGCTTTAATAACAGTAAGTATTATATAAAATATTGTAGTGGTGGATATGATTTCCAGTCATGGAATATATATTTGCATAGAAGCTTTTGCAGTTTTATCTCATTGTAGGGATTTTGACTGAGAGGAGCTACAGTATCATTTGGTCTGCCTACATATTGAATATGACAAGCAGTGACACCCTCTCTGAACCTTAGACTGTTGTGTTGCCTTTCATTTGTTTTCTACCATTACCAGAATCATCTGAACTGCTTTCATTCTCAAAATACAAAAATAAATAAATAACATGCGTATGATATATGATCTTATGGCAAATGAAGCTTAAAGACTCAATGTTGAGGTTTCAAAAGTTTTATTATCAGAGGAGTTGAAATCAAACCACAGGACTGGCTGTGAAATGCTTCATGACGTTACAGCATTCATACGATCGGTTCCCTCAGTCTTAAGTCCGCCAGGTGTGAAAACACTTGGTGTGAAAACACTTGGTGTTTTTTCCCTCCTGTTTTCTGAGGACATGGATGAGGACACCCTCTCAGTCTGCTCTTCAGGAGGCATGGCAGCTCTGCAGGGATCACTGCCCAGGTTTTCTCCATCTGACGTCAAGAGTTGAGGAATCTTTGAAATAAACAGTGAAGAATTCTCAGTGGACTGATCAGACTTGTTAAGACCCTGTACAAGTGAACAGATCTATCAGGCGTATGTGACTGCAGCTCAGAGGGATTCTACTACCAACAAGTCATGTGGTGAGCACAGCAAGGGGCAACACTGCTGTGATCATCTTTCTCTATGTGTATTCATTTGTTTGGCCTGTTTGTGCTTGCTATGTATTTATGTTGTTCTTTGGTTTTTTCTTTATGTGAAAGGGAAATCCACTGTGATAAATGAAAGAGCGTAAGCCATTCTCTGTGTGTGATAATGCTTAATGAATCTGGCTGTTAACGATGGCGAAAGTGTGTCTTCCTGCCTGGAATCCGAGCTGTCTTGAAGCAGTGTCAGCTTTGAACTCCACCCCTGCTCTGTGGTGTGTCAATACCATTGTGAGGAATGATGGAAACCATAATCACTCTGATTTCCTTAAAATCCATACACGGTGGGAGCTTTGAAGTATTTCTGCTGACAGGCAGAATCCTGTCATTCTTTACGACTGCTCAGCAGCATGCCCTTAAACACATCCTCGTGTACAACGATGACATGGCTCTAAGTATAAGAGGGTAGATTCATCAACCCTGCAGAGCTCAACCCCTTTCTTGATGATTTGGTATTACTGTGTGATTCCCTTTCACACCTGGAGACACAACTGGAAATCTTGCGTGCGTGCGTGCGTGCGTGCGTGCGTGCGTGCGTGCGTGCGTGCGTGCGTGCGTGCGTGCGTGCGTGCGTGCGTGCGTGCGTGCGTGCGTGCGTGCGTGCGTGCGTGCGTGCGTGCGTGCGTGCTCAGGGCGCCGGCTTCATTGAAGCTGAAATGAATTAGATTTATACTAAAGGACATTTTTTCCATGTGCTGAAAACAAATTTTCTTTTAAACAACTACAGATTAGTCACTTAAGGCAATTTATGATTTATTTGAAGAAACCGTGATCAACAAAGACAGAGAAAATTGTGCTAGACTGTGCGAATACAGCGCCTCTGTCCTCCAGGGGACCTGCCTACCTGCCACTACGGCTGCACTGTAAAAATCCTGGTCAACAGAGGAATCTCCGGTTATTTTATTGGATGCTTGAGCTACATTCCTGGACACAGCAGCAGACTTTACGCTTCCAATATACTAAAACACTCTTGTAACACTGCCGAGAAAACACAGACAAACTTGTTCCAATGACATGTGTTGACAAAGTGAGTGAGATTTGTCAGCAGCAGCATTTCACACTAGCTGATAACACCTCTGCAACCTGGCCAACTTATGAACATGTAGGTTAGACCGAAGACAAGGTGGTGTTTTGACCTGACATGTGCTGATATGTACTTTTGTGCCAGTAGTTGGTTTCAAATAGAAGATGACACCACTCCTTAATGTTGATGTCACAGGTTAACTTTTAATCTAGGAAGGTCAGGCACTGACAGTGTCATGGAATAATAATTTGCTACCATTCATGATTGGTTAACTCATCTGTTTTATTTCACTTTTTTGCCCTGTTTTGTCTCCAGTACTCTTCAGTCAGTTCGTGTTGTTCCAGACATCGCTTAATGATGTGGTGGAAATCTACGATGGACCTACACAGCAAAACACACTGCTGTCTTCTCTGTCGGGGTCCCATTCGGGTAGGAATAGATGGATGGATATGTGGCTTGATATATGGAAAGATGAATGAACCACTGGCATCTCTTTCTTTTTGTTCTTATCTCTCTTTAAATCTGTCTTCCTCTCTCTAGGCGAGTCTCTTCCTTTGAGTTCTGGAAACCAGATCACAGTCAAGTTCAACACAGTCGGACCAGAAACGGCTAAGGGATTTCACTTTGTCTACCAAGGTCAGCCAAGCGCAAGTAGGCAAAAAAATGATTGAAATTCTCATTATTGTTTTAGTAGCAGTAATAGTAGTTTAAAGGTTTGCAGCAGCTGCTTGCTTACTGCTCATAAACCTTGGCTTTCTTTGTCTATGGGGTATATTGGGCTATTGCTGTATTTTTGATATATTGCCACACTAACATTATGGATTGTTATATATCTTCATACATATGCTAAACATATGCAGGATGTCAAGGGAAGATAAGATATTATTAGAAGGGTGAATGGATGGATGGTTTGTGAGAGACGGACCATTCAGAGATAACTAGATAGGATCTAATCGTGAGAGCTCATGCCTGATTGCATGTAAGCTAAACCTCTCTCACGGACAAATACGAAGGCAAAGATGACTCTGACACCATATAGAATGAATTACAAATATGAGACAGACACCTCTCAGCTTTTCTTTTCTTTTTTGGCATTATAAGACTCATATTCCTTTTTATATTATTTTGACAGTGTGATTGATCATATTCACTGTTCCACAGACTATGTCCACACTGTGTTTTGTATTTTCCTTTTTTCACTTTTTTGTTTGCTGAATGAGCAAATTTAGAGTCCATTGTACAAATACAACCAAATGACAACTTAAGTGCTTTTATTGAATACAATGAAACAGTAGCTAACAAGAACAAATCCTTTCTCCTCATTTCTTTTTATCTCTCTCTGCAGATACAAGTTGTGAGTTTCGCCACTGAGCATAACTGGGACTCTTTGGATTTCTACGACGGTGCTGACAACCACGCACCCCAACTGGGAAGCTACTCTGGTAAAAAAAAAAAAAAAAAAAACTTATTTTAGCTTATTGAAAATGTAACTCAAAACACAAAAGTCTGGACTTTTTATACTAATAACGGTTTTATTATTAAAAAAATAGTTATTTAAAAAATGAATTATGAAATAACACTCTTAGTTTTAAATCATATAACAGTAGCACTTATTGTTGAATTAAGACGTTGCAACTGAAAAGACACTTTTAGAGAACATAAAACACAACATTAAAGTCTAAACTGCCTGTCACAGCTGCATCTGCTGGTTATATCTAAGGTAGAAGAATTCAGAGAGAAACCAAACATTCACTCTACATAGCAAAACAAAGAAGAGCTGTGTTATCGTCTGACATGATCACAGCAAATACAGCTTGACAGTTTAATGCATAAAGTTAGAAAAACATTGCATATTGTCATGGTGTATTGGGGCATACAAGATGCTGACCTTGTGAGTCTCTGCTAAGAGAGTGCAGTTAGAGCCAGTCTGACTCCCCTCTGACTCTCCCAGCAGGAGTTGAGACACACAAAATCTTACACCTGCTTGTTTTTCTGCAATTCCTCGAAAGAAATAGATGTCCCATAGCTTACTGATCCTCTTAAACTCTATGAATGTTTTCTGATCAACCCAGGAGACTATGAATCAGCATTCTTTCCAAAACAGTCTGTTACCACACTAGAAGCACACATGTTGCTTCAATATGCTAATCATTTTTAACAATATAGCTCTTAAATACTTAGATAATTCATGAAAGCCAAAACTGAAAACTAAAGTGTGAATATTAATATTCTGACTATCTTATGTTCTATCTCTAAATAATAAAGGCACAATACAAGCCCAAAGATGCATACACTCTATGTATCTTATTTATACATGAAGGAGAAAATGTTCTTCAGAAAAGAAAAAGATACATTTCTGTTCTCATGTTTTCCTGTTTTTAAAATAAACTGCGCACTAAAATAAACCCCAAGAAGAAGGTTGCACATTAGTGTACTATGAGTCTGATTGCTCCCTGCAGTTTACAGTATGGATAATTTTAGAGTCCCTCTTGCTCCAGCCACTAAAAACATGCTCAGTTGAGGTGAAGCATCTCTGTGGATACATTCACGAGCTGTTAAAGGAGGGAGTTAACTCATTCTACTATGAGGGAAGCAAAGCCATCTGATTATCTGTTTGTTATGCTGAGTAATTTATGGAAGGGCTTGACATTTTTATGACTAGCTGGGTAAGAGATTCAATTGGTGGCAATGAAATTATCATGACAGGAACTCTACTCCCATATAAAAAGTTATTAATGAATAAATACATGCAGGGAGGTAATTGAACTTTTTACAGGTTCATTACAACTATTAATTAGTACTGTCATACATCCTAGATTGTTATGGTTAAATCCATGCAATAGTCATTCGTCATCATTCATCATGTATTATTAAGGAAAAATAATTTATTATTTTCCGTTACGATAATGAATGAGATTTTCTCTGGATTGTGAAAGACACCAGCAGGGGGGCGGCAGACTGTTCAGAAAAGTGCTTATGAATTCCCCTCACAACAGGCAACCGATAACATCAGCTGGCCTAGTTCACTGTTGATTCAGAGGTTGCTCTGTAACTTTGATGAGTTTTGACTGCCACTGAACAAAAGAAAACATGCAAATAGTAACACGCCTTTGCTCACAGCTCTCTGCCTCTGCGCAAGTAACTGTTGCCATTTTAAAGGAAGAATGTGGGACATTTTACACATAAATACATCAGAATCTGTGTGTGTCTCTGAGTCATGACTGTCTACAATGAGTGAGAAGCACGAGTCTCGCCAGCTGTACTGTTGTCGGAGCCATGTTTACATCATGTTTACATGGACAGTAAGGCCTTGCGTATCAAGCTGTTACAATCAAGGACTAGAGAAAAGAAGAATAACATACTCTCTGCTTATTTTAGATGTCATGTAAGAGTCTTTAGATCACAGTCATTCCGTGTCAATTTATATGCAATGTGAAGCTATGAGTTAACCGAAGTGTGCTAACATTAGCCTGCTAACACAACAATGCAGGCCACAGGCGATTGCAGCTCGAGCAGAGAACAATTTGGTCCGCCGCTTGCGCTTAATGGCGCTTAATAATGGTGCGTTCTAATTGATAACTCCTTATAGAATATCGGAGGTGTCGCCAAACAGCGGTTTGTTTTGGTTACATGCTGGTGCTCCAGGACGACATCTACTGGATCAAAAAGTCGCACATTCTTCCTTTAAATAAGACAACGACACATGCACATTGACAAGGAAGTTAGAGTGGGTTAATATTTCTTTACATTAAGTTGAATTATCTTTTATGTTATTGTGAAGGGCCCTGAAATGATTACACTGGTTTGCTTCAGCACCTTATTTTTCATTTGTACTTTGCCTCTCCAAGTAGGCCAAGTGAACATTTTAAAAGGGATTTCAAATTAAACAGATGTCTCATATAAAAGTAATTCTCCTTTTCCTCCTCCGAGAACAGATTACTAAGAAAAGTAAAATTATAGGTTTTTGGAGGCCTTTGTTGTTCCCTTCCCTGTCAGATTACTGAGAACGTTGCTTTCAAGGCTTTGTTTAAAGAAGAAATTTGGTAGTGCTTCTCTGATGCTCTCTGCCTCTCTCCTTGTATTCAGGCACCTCCATTCTTCCTCTACTGAACAGTACATCCAACAACCTCCATCTCAGCTTCAGCTCTGATATCAGTGTCTCCGCTGCTGGTTTTCACCTGGAATACACAGGTAACATATTTTCCTTTATGCTGCTTTATCTTTTGCATTTTTCTTCAAACACAATATGTGGACTAAAACATCATTTCACATCTCTTCTCAGCTATTGGCCTTGAGTCTTGTCCAGAGCCTCAGACTCCGAGCTATGGAATAAGACAAGGAGACAGATTTATGGTTGGAGATGTCGTACAGGATACTCTCTTCAGGTAAAAAACAAACAACATTTGTGTGGGTTATTACTCATTGACTTACCACTAAGTACAATAGTTTTTTAATGCAATCCCACTGCCAGATGGGTTTGTGAAATTATTAAAGGCTGTTCAGCTTTCCGAGTGTGCTGCCATTCACTCCTTCTATCCCCTGGCTGCTCAAATCAAGAACTTTTTAAACTGTGAATCAGGAGGAACCCAAGCTCTTGGGTGGTTTTTCTCAGCTTTTACTAAACATACTACGCTGGTGTGGTTTATTTCAGCGCATGCATTATTTATGTCTCTGATGTCGTCTGCCCAATTTCTGTGCAGTATAAAAGTCAAACAGAGGTTTGCTTCTTTACGCTTAATACACAGATTTTGATTATTGCAGCTCTACAGCACTGATGCAGATGCCAACAGCTGTTACTGCAAAGCATGAATATTATTGTAGAGTACATAAATTATTTATAATAACTAAATGAATTGCCAACTGTAATATAAAACTACCTTGTGGTTTCTCTTACTTTTCAGGGCAATGCCCATAACACCTGCATGCCTGGGCCTGTCAGAAGATGGAACTACCCTGTTCCTTTATGTCTTGGTAGGTGTTCTACTGCAGTGCACACACACACACACACACACACACACACACACACACACACTCACTCACTCACTCACTCACTCACTCACTCACTCACTCACTCACTCACACATATACAAATATACACACATACACACACAGAGAGAGGCAATCTAGCCTGACTACATTGAGAATCATGCAAAACTTCAGTGCTGCAGGGATGATGCAACTCATCTGCACTGCCTATCCTGACTCACTGAAAAAACAAGCTGTTTGATCAATTTACTTCTCTGTGATGAGCTGATTATTTAGTATGCTGTGCAGAATATGATTAAGCTTTTACACTGATGCAAAGCTCTGACAGACTCTGTCATAACATACACGCTGTGCCAAATCATCAGCATGCACTGAGGCAAAAGGGAAACAAGCCTTGGACACACATCTACATGCACAACGGTGATTTATTCAAGAAGGGCATTTATTAAAGATTCAGAATATTAATGTTTTATTCAATGTGACACAAAATGTCAGGTTGGAGATACTCAAGTGTCCAACCAGAGGAAGTGTATAAAACTTACTTTTTTGCCTTTCTGTGTAATACGTGTGCATTGTGTGTGTGTGTTTCCAGCTCAGTGTGGTGGGTCCATGACAGATGTAAGTGGAGTGATTCTCAGTCCTGGTTACCCCGGCACCTACCCCAGTGGATTAGACTGCACATGGACAGTCAACTTATCTGTCGGCTTTGGTAAGATACACTGTCAACTTTTAACTTGTGTTTTAAACAGTGTGTGTTTGGTTCTTTTTTCATTTCCCCTGTAACATGTTCCCTCTGTCTCCATCTTCATGTAATAATAATAATAATAATAATAATAACTTTATTTATATAGCACCTTTTAAAAACACAGGTTTACAAAGTGCTTTGACAAACAGCAAGAACAAAGCAAACAAAGCAAACACAGAAAAACATTAACAACAGTAAGAATATAACAGATGCAAAATACCAAAAATAATTAAATACAATTCAACAGAAAAGAACCCAAAGTGCACGATACACAACCAGACATATAAAACCCGACCATCACAAGAACCATCATAAGAACCATCATAAGAACCATCATAAGAACCCAGGAAACACAAGAACCCAACAACACGAGCTGAGACCAAGAGGACCAAAGATTTAGAAAGATGTAAGAAACTAAGAGATAAAAGCAAATAAAAAGCAATAAGAAGGTAAGAGCAGTAAAAGAAATAAAAACAAGTGGTTAAAGGATCAAAAAACCCAAAACTATAATATTAATAAAAATAAAAATTAACTATAAATACGAAACATAAATAGACTAAGTAAGATAAGAAATTACCAAGTTAAAACACAAGAGGAGATTAAGATATGAGCATAAATACGAGATAAGACCATAAATAAAAGACATTAAGAAGACATTAAGAAGACATTAAGAAGACGACATCACATAAAAGCAAGTCTGTAAAAGTATGTTTTAAGAAGGGATTTAAAAGAATTGAGGGAATCTGCAAGTCTTATCTCCTCAGGGAGGTCGTTCCAAAGTCGAGGGGCCCTGACTGAAAAGGCCCGGTCACCTTTAGTTTTAAGTCTCGACTTTGGAACGACCAGGAGGCCCCCACCTGAGGATCTAAGACTGCGGGCTGGCTCATATGGTGTCAGTAGCTCTGTTATATAGCTTGGAGCCAGCCCCGTCCGGGGCTTTAAAAGTAATGAGTAAAATCTTAAAATCGATTCTAAAACGTACAGGAAGCCAGTGTAATGAAGCTAAAATTGGAGTGATGTGATGTCGTCTGTTACAACCAGTAAGAAGCCTAGCTGCTGCATTTTGGACCAGCTGGAGGCTTATTTGTGATTCCGGAAAAGAGGGAGTTACAGTAGTCAAGTCGGGAGAAGATGAGGGCGTGGATGATCTTTTCAAGGTCTCGTTGGGTTAGGATTGTTTTAATTTTGGAGATGATGCGTAGATGGAAGAAGCTTGATCGGACAACTGTTTTGATATGGGATTCAAAGGTGAGATTGCAATCGAATGTTATTCCTAGATTTCTGGCGGTGGGTTGGACATTGGTGAATAAGGGACCGAGGCTGCTCTTTGAGATATGAGTGGTGTTTGGCGGGTTGAATACTATGATTTCAGATTTAGAATTGTTCAGTTGGAGAAAGTTTTGTGCCATCCAGCAGTTGATATCGTTTAGGCAGTTTCTGACAGCAGCTAGGCTCCTAGGGTCCTCAGGTCTCAAAGGAAGGTATATCTGTGTGTCGTCTGCGTAGCAGTGAAAGGAGACATTGTGGCGTTCAATTATTTGGCCAAGAGGCAGCATATAAATGGAGAATAAAATGGGACCTAAAACCGAACCTTGCGGTACACCACAGGTAATGTTAGAGGTAGAGGAGGAGTAGTTACCGATGGTGACCGCAAAGGTTCTTTCTAAAAGATAAGAGTAAAACCAGCTAAGTGCAGTATCCTTTAAACCAACCCAGTGTCTGAGACGATCAGTTAAAATTGTGTGATCAACAGTATCAAAAGCTGCGCTAAGATCTAAAAGAATTAAAATTGTGCCCTCCCCTCTATCTGTTGCTAAAAGAAGGTCATTGGTTACCTTGAGGAGGGCAGTCTCTGTGCTGTGACAAGCTCTAAAACCGAAATGGAATTTCTCAAAGAGGTTATTTTCAGTCATAAAAGATAAAAGTTGTGTTGAAACCACCTTTTCTAAAACTTTTGATGAAAATGGAAGTTTTGAGATTGGTCTAAAATTGTTAAAATCAGTGGGATCAAGGTTGGGTTTCTTTAAAAGTGGTTGGACCACAGCATGTTTAAAAGCAGAGGGGACTACACCTTCCGCCAAGGAACTATTAATAATGGATAAAATACTGGGTCCAACTGTGTTAAAAACCTCTTTGAGAAATGTTGTGGGAATAAAATCAAGGCTGCACGTAGCTGATTTCAGATAAAAAGGTCAAGGACACCGGCTCAAAACTGCTAAAATAACTGTTAAGTTCCCTGCTGGTGTCTAAAATACGGTCTGGGGGGATGATTTGTTGCCTAATGTCCTTGACTTTATTAGTAAAATAAGTTAAAAACTTCTCACATAGATCCTGAAAAGGATCAGTAAAATAAGAAGGGGAGGGGGTGGTGATTGATTCTAAAACCTTAAATAAAATTCTGGGGTTAGAATGATTGACTAAAATCAGATTAGAATAAAATGCTGCTCTTGCGTCTTTAACTTCCTTTTGGTATTGTTTCATTGAATCTCTCCATATTTCATAAAATACATGCAAGCCTGTTTTTTTCCATTTTCGTTCTTTCCTTCTGCAGTCTCTTTTTAGATCCTGAGTCAGTTCGTTTAGCCATGGCTGTGGGACTCTGTTAGTTTTTTTGTCTTTATAGGGAGCAACAGAGTCCAGCACAGTTTGACAGGTGAGATTAAAAGAGGAGAGTAGTAGTAGTGCTGTACTTATTGTTTATTTAATTGAAACTGTATTGGCTGCCTTTAGCCGTGTAGTTCATGAGTGGCTGCATCTAACTTTTATCACCAGCCTCTCTGTTACTGAAGCTTTGCTAATTGCTGTAAAAGACAAATACTATGTATTTTTCTCAGGTATCCATCTCCAGTTTCTGAATTTCTCCACCGAAGCGATCCACGATTACCTAGAGATCCGCAGTGGAACGCTGGAGACAGGCTCGGTCATTGACCGGTTCAGCGGCCCAGTCATCCCCAAGCCTCTGTTCAGCACCACGCACCAGACCAGCTTCTTCTTCCAAAGTGACTATTCACAAAACAAACCAGGGTTCCACATCACATATCAAGGTAAACGTTGTTCCTAAAAAGTGTCTTTCCTCACATTGTGTGCAGACGGATCATTTTCTAAGCAAAAACACGAGAAGATTGTGCTTCATTTTGAAAGAAACTGTTGCCTTTTTAATAAATTGATCAGTACATTTCAATTTTCTCATAACTGTGTATACATGCAACTGGAGCAACTCACATCAAAATCATTTACATGTAGGAAACAATTTCAAAAGTCCCTTGCCCTGAAAAAGACTTTCAAAAATATAATGAAAAGTCTTTAATTTGAGATAAATGTCAGAAATAAGATTCATGTTATATGCATTCACTATAAATGTTTTGAGCAGTCTCATATTCAATGTGAAAAACCTAAACTTGACAAAGCTAATTCCATTAATGTGCAAATTACAGCAGTAGATTAATAATAGCATTTATCTCATGACTGCCAAAGCATTTTAAAACAGGATTATAAATGCTTTGTAAGTTAGTCCTTCTCAGTCACGTGTCTGTCTTTATTCATGCAAACACTTGACTCCTTGAACTTTGGCTGTGAAATTCACTGTGACTGCAAGGATAAATACTGTAGTAGACAGATTAATTTGAGCAAATATAAAAGAACGAGAACAGGCTCCTTTTGTTTATGACACCGTTTTCAAAAGGTTTGCAATCTTAATGACCTAAAGGTTATTTTACTATACTTTATTTTATTTTAATCAGAGTTTCATATCATCAGTTATTTTGCAATATGTCTGCAGTTTGCTACAGGTCTTCAGCTTAACAAACCACAGGACTTATTTCTATAAATGACAAACGGAGCACAAACTGTACAGCTTCCAAGCCATTTCTAAGCTACTGCATTCCCATATTGTTTCTAGCATTTACCTTCACAAAAACGGATCATTGTCTCTCTAGCCTACCAGCTCCAGAGTTGCCCCGATCCAAGGCCTTTTCGAAACGGCATCGTGATTGGCACAGACTTCAGCGTTGGAATGACGGTGTCATTTGAATGTCTGGCTGGTTATTCTCTGATCGGGGATGCCTCACTCACATGTTTACATGGAATCAGCAGGAACTGGAACCACCCACTGCCAAGATGTGAAGGTAGTACAGATAGTCATCACTGTACATATGTCAGAGGGAGTGTTTCTGTTTGACTGCATGGTGTTTCAGACTTCAGTCTACAACTAGACATGAAATGTCCTTGTGCTTTATTGTGAAGGGAATAGAAACGGTGTAATCCCCTTTATTACTTTTGTCTCTGCTAATATTGTACATCTTGATTTCTTTGACAAACGACACTTAAGATTATGTGGGACTTGCAACATGGGATTATCATGTACCCAAAGGGCAAAGATTGAGAGGCAGATGAGAGGGGCTGGCAGTAACTGTTAACTGCCTGTTTACACAAACATCAAAAGCCTGGCGTCAGCAACAATGAGGACAAGGGACACGCACAAACTTCTAAGTAGCCCCTGTGAAAGAAGTTAACAGGATGCATAATTATGATGCACAATGGCAAACAGAGGACACTCATCCCTAACAATAAAGATGGTGAGACCTAATATCTTCTAAATAATGACTCTAAATGGGATACCGCCTCGGCCTTATCAGTCGCCTGACACTCTCATAAATATTCACCAAAGAGTGTATGAGAGGCATACTTATCTACTCTAAATCTACGCTTTGGTAGATGTTCTAAACAAAGAACTCCATGACTCACTATTGTAAGGTCTGTATTCATTATGTGTTTTGTGGTTTCATAACTGGATTTCTATCTAATTCACGTTGGTGGCTAGGTGTTACCATTTGCCACAGAGCGCAACATGGCACACTTGAATTCAATCCTGCTTCAGGAGAAGACATTAAGCACAACAATATGAAACAGTGGGCTCAGTTGCTTACAAATTGACTTTAGATAAAAAAGGCATTATATTGAAGCAAGTCAAATGATTATTGTTGCAGTCTGCACTATCAAAGAGGGAAAGTTTGAATTGATATTGTCCTTGATCTTCATTGAGAAAAGATCCAAATGAATAGCCCAAAGCTAAATCTTTTGATATTAACAAATATTTGATTATTATTAAATATTATCATTTAACCTTACAAAGATCAAAACCAGGCCTTGCAGTTCTACGTTAGCCTGTACCTCTACAGTTTGTCTGATCAAAAGACTTCTGTCTCATATCTGTATTCACTTTTGTCTTCACACACACACACACACACACACACACACACACACACACACACACACACACACACACACACACACACACACACACACACACACACACACACACACACACACACACACACACACACACACACACACACACACACACACTACTCTCTCTCACACTCTCAAAGCTGGCCCTGCATCATTTTTTGATAAAGCACTACTGCCCCCTGGTGTCCTCATGCACATACATACCCATGACAACAGAGGAGAAGAGAGTAGAGAGAGGACAAATAATGCTGCTACTAATTTATCTTTTCTTTTAGATTTTTTGTGTAATTACTTAGAAGCGTGAACTGTTTTTTTCTCAGAACCAACCAAAACCAGCTGTGATAACCCGGGAACACCACGCTACGGCTCTCTAAACAGGACCTACGGTTTCAAGGTAAAATATCTGTTGACACATTTAACTCCATATCAACCTTCATACCACAGTACTTAACTTGCTGATATAGAAGCTGTCAGGAAAAGAAGGAGAGGTAATAAGCTAAATATATCTGCAGTGGATTGATATTGTGTTATAGCACCTATATATAATATATTAACTCATATGAAATATGCTTGTTAAAAGAGCTTAGGACTTTGGATTTTCTTTTCTTTCTTTTAGTAGTGAGGTTAGGATTTCTTCACAGTCAGTATGGAGAGGGCTCTTTAAATCTCTCAACTTACTGTGCAACACTTGTGGGAGAATCTTCTCCATATGATATTTATAGTTTACTCTTTAATGCATTTTCACCAAGGCCAACTCATCAGATGCTCTTAATTAAACAAAAGACAGATGCAACTTTGCGTTGCATATGTATGTAACATTCCTTTACTGTGAAAGACTGAAGGTATTCAGAAACTGTTTAGACATAATATTTGTGTTGGTGGCTTTTTAATTCTCTCTCTTTCCCCCTCTCTCTCTCTCTCTCTCCCTCTCTCTACAGGTGGGTAACGTGGTGTCATTTCAGTGCCAGCCTGGCCATTTGATTCAGGGCTCCTCCTCTAGAACCTGCCAGCCTGATCTGACATGGAGTGGAACACAACCTGAGTGCATACGTAGGAAACATTCATCCTATCATCTTAACGTATCAGCAAGCTATGCTTTCTTCCTGTCAGACTCTAATTCCAGTGTATACCGGTGCATTTCTTCTCCTCCATCCAGCCCATGCCTGTAAGCAGCCCGAGAGCCCGCTCCATGTGGACGTGGTGGGGATGGATCTGCCTGGATTTGGCTACACCTTGGTGTACAGCTGTCAGCATGGCTACTTCCTGGCAGGGGGTTCTGAACACAGAGTCTGCAAGAGTGACGGGACTTGGACTGGAAAAATGCCTATATGTCGAGGTTAAAAAATATATATTTCTATGAATACTATCCTCTTTCTATTTAAAGTATCTATTGCATTTGATTGAATGTTTTACCTAAAACAATTAAGTATTACAAATAGAGATAAGCAAACAGGTGGCAGATTTGAACATGCCTTGCTCAAAGTCACTGTGTCAGTAAAGATGTCGGAGCAATCTGGCCATCTTGAATCAGACGAGATATCTGCACAGGCTGGTCAATCTTCTGGCAGCACTGTAAAAAAAAAAGAAAAAAAGAGATAACACAATATCCCATTGTGGTCTTTCATCCTTCGTTAAATGAACACGGTCAGACCCTTTCAGGCCAGGTTATGAATTGATCACATCTCATGGGTCCATTTCTCATCCCCCCCATCAACTTTACTGCAGCTCACATTGACAGAATGATTGTGTTGAGCTTTACTGTGATCTGTTGAACCCTAGCACGTGTCTGTTGGATATAACAAACTTAAAAGTAAAGCATTCGTCAAACAGTGGATGTTTCAGGGATGAGTATGGGTCCAGTGAAGATTCTCTCTGATCTCCAAGTTACCAAAATGTGTGCACAGTACACACAGACAGCTTACATCTCCTTAAACTGAGTTATATCTCGAATGAGACTTTTGCTTTTTGTAAATATAAACACAGTTTGGATGATGATGGATTAGATACCTGTGTGTTAATAGAGATCAGTCAGACAGGGACTAATTCTAAGGCTACAGTTTATTTAATTTTCCCACTCCAGTGTCTTCTCGATCTATATACAGTATGTCCGATGTTGAGCTGTAAGGTGACCTAATGTATACGACCATAGAATACTCACCAGTACAAAGTGCTTAAACTACATCAAAACAATCCCACTATATAGTCTGTAGGAGATGTTGTGGAGCTTTAAATTGCTTCAAGCAATCTTCTTCAGCAGACTGAGTTTGCCCAGCTGCCGTGGAATTACAGATGTTCAAGTTTCCACTTTTCTGAGCACTTTAAGCATTTCTTATCAGGGTTTGTTTAAAAGTTGGGATTGAAAGTGCCTTCCAGAGCTTTGAAACAAACCAATCTCACCACCAAGTTCATTTGGTGGTTGTTCTGCAGCCTTTTTGATTAAATCACTTCCCTCAATACTTTTGTAAACTGTGAAGTGTGGCTGTTATAACAATGTGTTTATTTTTTAATAAATAACTCAAAAAGAAATGTAGATGATAGAGTTTTGGATCAACCTTAGCACAAGGGGGGTGGGGGGACAGCGAGCTCCAACCTAGACATGATTCCACTAAGGCTGGCCCCCTCTAACCCTGAGGTGGCCTTTTTAAATTGGAGCACTCTTTGATCCAATTTGAGATTCTAGGACAAAAAGCCCTCTGTCTTTGCTTGCCTCTCCTTGTTGGCAACAATGGCTGCATCTTGAAGTGACGATAAGAGGCTGCTCTGAATGGCCAAACCCAGAGTGCCTTAAGGCCACTTTTAAAAGGATCTAATATGCACTACAATTATCGGTCAGGAACTCTATTTGCATTGCACGGCCTACAAATAACCATTAGAGAGGTTTATTTTGAGGGACCTTTTTCTGCACACTTGTCACTTACTATTCGCATGTGTGACTAATAGTCACCAACACTGCATGGTAATTTGGTAATATAAAGTCCTTTCTCCTGCATAAGGTGGTTTTCTGGGGATTTGAGATGATGGCTCTGTAAGTTTAACAAGAGGCAAACATTTTAATATCTTTTCATACTGAGTCCCTGCAGCTCTGCTCATGTATTTTAATATCTCTTTTCCCACGTTTGTTTGTTTCTGTGTGTGTGTGTGTGTGTGTGTGCGTGCGTGCGTGCGTGCGTGCGTGCGTGCGTGCGTGCGTGTGTGTGCGAGTGTGCTAGTGGGCGAGTGTGTGTGCGTGCGTGCATGTTGAGATCCGGTTGAGATCCCCGCATCCGAGGCCGCGTGGCCCCTCGGTGCTGGCGGCGGATCGTCACTCAAAAACTCTCCCTCTCTGTGTGTGTGTGTGTGTGGCCGGAGAGAAGAAAAAAACCTGTGAAACCAGCAACAGGTACTCCAAGCCCCAAACTTAATGGTCAGTTCTATTACATTTGATTCTATTACAGGCTAGTACAGTCCGTTCATTTATTTTCTGCTCTTGACTTATCTAATCTCTTTATTTTTTTTTTTTTCGTTTTTGTCGATCATAGTTTAATAAATTCTTCCCTGCTGCTCCACACTCGGCTCTTTTTGCTCCACACTGTTTTCCTCATGTCGATTTCATTGTTCCTCACTGCTATCCAACAAAATAACAAAATATTTTTCTCACTTCACTTCCCTTCTGTTCAGTCCTCCAGTTTTAGATCTCAGTTGTGGTCTGTCCTTTTCTGTTGTAATTCCAAATATCTCAGCATCTTATTAAAGCTCATACAATAATATAATAAGATCAGACACATATTTATTAAAAGGAACAATTTGATTAACAATTTCCAGTGATATGCAAGGATTAAATTGTGTTATTTTAACCAAAATTCTAATGTAGTATGTTCCTTAACTGAAGCTTTAATCCATTGTTGTATTTTCTCTTCTTTTCAGTTTCCTCAGATCTTCTCTGTTGTATTCTGCCTCTCTTCTGCTCATTTTGATTTGATGGTAATGCGTCCTCTCCTCTTCTTCTGTGTAGTTCCAGATGATGTCTTTGCTCCTAACTACATATGGAAAGGTTCCTGCAATTACCGTGGGAGTAAGCAGCCTATGACACTGAGTATCACCAGCTTCAACTCCACAACTGGAAGAGTCAAAGTTTCCCTTAGCAACGGCAACATGGACCTGCTGCTATCAGGCATGCTGGAGTATAGATACTTACACCCTTTATGATTTATGTCCAGTGTTTAGTACATGGTGCTTTACATGTCACACAGTATTAGGGTTATACTCTCTGTCAAACAGTACATGGATCATTAGGTAGCAACGTAAATAAACCAGGGTTCCCACTCGTCCTGGAAAACCTGGAAAACACCTGGAAAATGAGAGAAAAAGTAAAATGTCCTGGAAAATCACGTGTTGTCCTGGAAAATGATTCCAACACTCTCCTACAGGGTTGGACATTTTCACCGCCACACGTTAATAAAAGTATCTATTTGTTACATAATCCACAACGCAGATTGAATGGAAGTCTATAGATAATGTAATGGCTCCGCCTCCCCCTCGTGTCAAAAGTGAATATTTATTTACAATTTAATTGAAAGGATGGAGGTAGAATTGTGCTTTCTCCTTGGTTTGAGGTCAGCACATTAACAGTAGTTAGTTAACGTTATTAATGACATGCTAGCTTGCACTGAATCTCTCTCTCTAGTCGGTCTTTCTTGCTAGCTGCTGTCTCACTTCCAGGACTGTGTTCTATTATGACTTTGTGCCTGACAAAAGTGATAGTGAAATACAATTAGTTTCATATGTTTGATAAATGCCAATTGGCAATGTTTATAAACTGCAGATTGGAAAAGATAACCGTGTCACGTGTGAAAAAATGCATTTATATGCACAATGAATGATGTATGAGTCAAACACGGGCCGAAGACTGGCTAACGTTCCTTTTACTTTGCTAGCATTGTCTCTTCAAATGCAATACTGCGTTGTTAAAGGTAAGAAATTGACCATAACATGATATTAAGTGTTTAACCTTTGAAGCGGTACTTCACAGTGGATGTGATTAGCCTTGTTAAAGACTAAACTTAATATTGGCATGGCACGATCACGGACTGTCATACCAGTTCGATCATCGCTGAAAATGTCCTGGAAAATGATCTCTGGAAAAGAGTGGGAACCCTGAGAGTTCTTACATGCATCTCCTGGCCCAAAGGAGCCGTTTTAGTTATCTCCTTTCTTTGTTATTGCTGCAGAATCTTCTGATCTGTAAATCTATTGCATATATATTCGGGAGCATTCACCACCTATATTTTTGTGCTATATATTTAACACAAGGGGGGGGCTGAAGGGGAAAGACAGATTATACCTGAGAGTTTTTAGAAAAAATGAAATCGATGAAAGATATTTCTATGTGTTGTTCACAGAGGTCACAAAAAGTATTTAAGTTCATTTTGAAATGTTTTTTTTTTTCTTTTCTTTGTGTGACTTAAAGTTTCTCTCACCATCACTGTCTTTCCCACTGAGGCAATCAAGAGTGTCATGGGTATTATAGTTGTCATTATTGTTGAGATGTTAGGTTTGCCAGCAACAATCACGCTGTTTATAGTGAATGTCTCAAACATTCATCACAGAGGGCAGATTTCTAATTTATTCATTGCTGGAGGTTGTGTTTTGTCTGCCATTTCTTTGCCTCCTCTTCACTGGAGCTGTTACAGATCTGTCCTCCATTATGGTCCCCATTGTGTCCCAGACAGTATTTAAATGCTGGAATAACAGCGCTGTTTTCAGAACCTAACCAGTGATGTTATGTCACCAAAATTTGCACATCAAACTTCAAACAGATGCTGGGGGTTTTAAGCTACACTTCTCAGATATCGATAAAGTCAGTGTTGTCTCGGAAATATAAAAATATCAGTTCTAAAATAATTCTAGTATTTTGTTTATACACGACCAGAGCTGTATCTAGGTCTGGCTAATTAATGTTAATTACTGCTCTGCATAAAGTCTGTAGGTGAGGACCTACAGAAAAAAAGATAAAAGTCTGTTCAAGTTTCTTTCATGAGGAACTCATCGTACAAGGGATGGATTAGTCTTGATTTTTATTCTTATAGGTTCATTTATTACAAAAATAGATGTGTTTCTAATTTGTCTGCTCTTAAAATCTCAGAGACTAAATTGTTAAATTCTAAATGATCTTAAATCACCTCCAGGATTTCAGTCTCTTTGACTTTGGCTCTGTGCAAAGATGTGTTGGTCTTAAAAAGAAGTCTTTTTTTAGTCTTTAAAAGTTATTGTATTTTTTATTGTATTTTTTATTTAAATGATGTAAATATGTTTGATCTGTTTTTAACTTCTATTTTTATAAGTATATTCCTGTCCCCTGTTTTCTGGAGCTGCTGTAATGCACAAATTTCCCCCACAGGGGATCAATAAAGTTTATCTTTATCTTTAAGATATGAAGCTACAACTTTGTCTTAAAACGAGATTGCTTGATTTGGGAACTACTACCATCTTCTTATTGAGGATAAAACGTAGATAGAAATGCAAAATATACAGTCACAGATCTGGCCAACATGTCCTTTCTTGGTGAGGTTTTACATATAATGTAGCTGAAGTTTATAAAGTAAGCATATTTTCAAAAGATGTTGCTGTATACCTTGAACAAGCTCTACTGCTACATTGTCATACCCATTATCTCTGCAGGTCGTGAAATATTCACTGTAATAAAATTTGACATCAAAATCGAGACATGTAAGTTGATTTCCCAAATTGACATCCAATGCATTTCAATTACAAGATTGTTTTGTGCAGGGAACATGTACGTGGTGCCTACAAGGTCCTCTATTCCCCTCCAAAATAGGTAAAATATGTTCTTGGGGTTTACCATCCATGTTTGAAGATAGATAAGTAGCTATGGATTTCTATAACTAGTGAAAAAAAGGTTCCAGGTCTGAAAGGTGAAGTCTGTGAGAAAATGAGCCTTCTTCTCAGGTGATTTGTTCCCTCAGGAAACATTTTCTAAAGAGTTTATGGTCTCGATCTCTAGTCTTCCTCAATACAGCATGATGTTCATTTTGTAAATGATGGTCCCATTCAGAGTCAAAGAGACCATTCGGTTGGGAGGAGGAAAGGGTGGGGCTCCCCGTGATTGACATGTTGCTACCTAGGTTACTCTTAAAATTAGGTTGTAATAAAATACACTCTGTGGACTGTTTACTTTCTATGGAAATACATCCTATCTTTGACGGACAAAATGAGCACCCAAACCATCAAAACATCACAGCTTCTCTCTATTTTTAATGCAGCTTGCTAACCTGGTAAGCACCAATGTTCAGTGGTATATTGGGGATTGCTAAAACCCTTTGCTCCCCTCCAGTTCCACCCCTTCATCCAAATATGGCCACTCAGACCACACTTCAGGTTGTCCACCTTCAAAATAAAAGCACCACACTTCAGTTTGTGCACTTTCAAAATAAAAGCACCAGATGTTATGCTAATGTTTAGAAGGGGAAACTGAAATCACAGATCAAAGAAATACTTAAATTGATGCAGTGAGGATATGCAGCGTGTGATCATGCGCAATGAGATGAGATGAGATGAGATGAGATGAGATGAGATGAGATGAGATTCAACTTTATTGTCATTACACATATACAAGTATAGAGTAACGAAATGAGGTTTGGCATCTCACCAGAAGTGCAAATAAGCAGAAAGTGCAATAGTCTGTGCTATGTACAGTAATTGAGTGCAAGAGTCTGTGCTATGTACAGTAATTCTGTGCTATGTACAGTAATTGCAAAATTTACAGATGTAGACCAAAAAAGTGAATTATTAGGTAAATCTGGATGGCTGGATTAATGGGATGCAATAAATATAAATAAATGCTATAAATAAGTAATGCTACAAAATAAGTGTGTTCTTAGGATTATAATATACAGATTAAGATGCAGTGAGCATGCTATACTAATAATATACAGATTAAGATGCAGTGAGCATGCTATACTAATAATATACAGATTAAGGTGCAGTGAGCATGCTATACTAATAATATACAGATTAAGATGCAGTGAGCATGCTATACTAATAATATACAGAATAAGATGCAGTGAGCATGCTATACTAATAATATACAGAATAAGATGCAGTGAGCATGTTATACAAGTTTACAGATAATTTAAAGAATATGAACATACTATAATACAATAATACAGGTGGATGAGAGATGTGTGTGTGTAACCAGGAGGAGTGGTGGGGGGATGATGGGTGTGAGGTGATATGGAGGGGAAAGGGGGGTCAGCAGGGTGCGGAGAGAGAGAGGGAGAGAGAGAGAGAGACAGAATACAGAGTTCGGGGTGTGAGGTGATATGGAGGGGAAAGGGGGGTCAGCAGGGTGCGGAGAGAGAGAGGGAGAGAGAGAGAGACAGAGTTCAGAGTTCGGGGGTAGAGTTCAGAAGAGAAACAGCTCTGGGGAAAAAGCTGTTCCTCAGTCTGCTGGTTCTGGTCCGGAGGCTTCTGAAGCGCCTGCCGGAGGGCAGGAGGGTAAACAGTCTGTGGGCAGGGTGGGAGGAGTCTTTAAGGATGCCATGAGCTCGCCGCAGACAGCGTGTTCTTTGGACGTCCTCAATGGCAGGAAGTGGACACCTTGTGATGCGCCACCCGCTGTAGGCGCCTTACGGTCTGTGACAAGCAGTTTCCGTACCAGACTGAGACACTGCTGGTCAGGATGCTCTCGATCACACAGCGTAGAAGTTCATCAGTACAGCTGAAGACAGGTGGTGTCTCTTCAGTGTCCTCAGGAAAAAGAGGCGTTGATGAGCCTTCTTAACCAGACTGGAGGTGTTAGTGGACCAGGAGAGGTCCTCTGTGATGTGAGTCCCCAGGAACTTGAAGCTGGAGACACGTTCAACAGCCATCCCGTTGATGTGAATGGGGTTGTGCGTGCTTCCTCTTTCTCTCCTGAAGTCCACGATGATCTCCTTCGTCTTGCTGGTGTTGAGGAGCAGGTTGTTGTCAGCACACCAGGCGGCCAGATGCTGTACCTCCTCCCTGTAGGCGTGTCATCGTTGTTGCTGATGAGGCCAATCACCGCTGTATCGTCCGCAACTTGATGATGGTGTTGGATCCATGTACAGGTCTGCAGTCGTGGGTGAAGAGGGAGTAGAGGAATGGGCTCAGCACACAGCCCTGTGGTACGCCTGTGTTGAGTGTGATGGTGGTGGAGCAGGTGTGTCCTGACCTAACATACTGGGGTCTGTTGGTCAGAAAGTCCATTATCCAGTGACGGAGGGAGGAGTTGAAGCCCAGGTCTCCGAGTTTAGTGTTCAACTTGGAGGGGATGACAGAGTTGAATGCTGAGCTAAAATCAACAAACAGCATTCGTGCGTATGTGTTATTATTGTCCAGATGAGTGAGCACAGAGTGCAGCGCAGTGGAGACTGCATCCTCTGTACTCCTATTGCTGCGGTAGGCAAACTGGAATGGGTCCAGTGTGGGTGGGAGGCAGTTTTTCAGGTGTGCTAGGACCAGTCGCTCAAAGCACTTCATTATGATGGGTGTGAGTGCCACAGGGCGGTAGTCGTTCAGGCCTGTCGGGCTGGAGTGTTTTGGCACTGGGACAATGGAGGTGGCTTTGAAGCATGCTGGCACAGCTGCTTGGGCGAGGGACAGGTTGAAGATGTCCGTAAAAACCCCAGTGAGCTGCTCCGCACATGCTCTAAGCACGCGCCCGGGGGTGCCGTCTGGACCAGCAGCCTCCGGCTCAGTGCAGCGTGGACGTCTGTGGAGGTGAGTGAGAGGGGTTGGTTGTCTGCAGGAGGTCTGGTCGTGGTCTGTGTCTCTCTGTTGTCTCCTATCGAAACGAGCATAAAAGTGATTTAGCTCGTTCAGGAAGGAGACATCTGTGGTTATCGGGGTGGAGTTTCTGGGTTTATAGTCACTGATGGCCTGGATGCCTGCCACATGCGTCTGGGTCGGAGTTGGAGAAGTGTTCCTCTACCTTCAGCTTGTAGCAGTGCTTGGCCTTGATGATGCCCCTCCTCAGGTTTGCCCTGGATATGCTGTAGACCATTGCATCATCTGATCTGAAGGCGGTGTTGCGGGCCTTCAGCAGGAGACGCACCTCCTTGTTCATCCATGGCTTCTGATTTGGGTACGTGGTGATCTGCTTCCATGTTGTAACACTGTCGATGGTGGTATTGATATAATCCAGCACAGAAGAAGTGTAGGTGTCAATGTCTGTGTGAGAGCCCAAGGTAGCCTGCGAAGCAAATACTCCAGTCTGTGTGATGGAACTTGTCCTGAGTACAGAGTCTGTCCCCCGCTGGCCACACT